AGAGCCCGTCTCTCGACCTCGATCTTCCGATAGATGTGTCCCTCGAGGATCTTGAATCCGCCGAAGAGTGAGCCTGACGCCGTCGATATCTTGATCCATGGGCCGGCGAGTGAACGCGCGATCGGGAACGCGAGAATTCGTGAATATCTCGCCCTCGATCGTACGAATCCCGGGATCTTTTCTCGCGTGAATGTCGCGAATATTTCTTTTTTGCCTTATGTTTTGGCATAGCGAAGAAGAAGTCAAAAAATACTTGAAAAAGGAAGGTGAAAAAAAAGTACACGTTGTCTGGGTGAACGAACAGAACACAATGAAGTGGAGGGCGCGCGCAGCGCAAGCAGTGAGGAAAAGACGAACCGCGCGCATAGCCAATTTTTGTTTTATATAGCGCGGTTTTTTGAACTCTGTTGTCTGGGCGCGTGCAGGGGCACGACTACATAGTTTTATATATCCATCCGGACGAGACATTGGGGCATAATATAATATATATTACTATTTAAAATACAATGTGGTATAATAGGGCTACCGGCGAAGGTCCACGTTGAAAAACCTAACGCGCTATAAGTGGCACCTCATGGGTGGCGCGGAAGACCACTCAATAATTAATAATAAAACTATTTGAGATTTAAATTAGGCTTGTAATCGATCAAAGATTGCCAATGATATCGTGTAGAACCGGCGCGTTTAGGTCCGTAACTACACGCGTACCGATCTGTCAACTGTTATTGATTTTTACAAGTCAGGTGATATTGATTTTTACTGCACAGCTGATTTTCCACGGACGCAAAATGCATGTGGATTTTCGTCACTCGAAATATGGGAGTTGTGACTGTTAAATACTCCTTCACCAGTAAAACATGACTCGTCCGTAAATAACATTTTAATGACCAAATCAGAATCTCTATTTTAATTCTCTAATAACAATGTATAAAATTAGATTCTTCTAGATGAAAATGTTTTCGATAAAGATGCGTTACATTGTATTTATTGTAAGCGTTTTAATCTGATACAGAAAATACAATAAGTATATCGTAATGTTCATGTATAATCTCCCATCATTTTCAACATGATTATTGGAAAATGAAAATAAAGATTCTGGTTTTGTCCATAAAATTTTATTTACAGACGAGTCACGTTTTACTCGTGAAGGAGTAGTTAACAGCCACAACTCTCACATTTGGAGTAACAAAAATCCACATGCATTTCACGTCCGTGAAAAATCAGCTGTGCAGTAAAAATCAATATCACCTGACTTGTAAAAATCAATAGCAGTTGACAGATCGGTACGCGTGTACGTGTAATTGCAAATCTGAGCGTGCCAGTCCTACGCGACATCATTAGCATCTTTGATTGTTTATAACTTAAAAACTATTGTAGTCTTGATTATTTTTGTATTAAGATTCTTTACTCTATTTTATCTTCAAAAAATACTATTAAAGTATTAAGCGGTAGTTATGAGACACCCTGTATAACATAATATTAAACTCTAAAGTATTAACTATCGCAATTAACGCATATTAATAATTTATAAATATTTAATGTTCTGATATTTTATTAATATCAATATTATTTACTTTTTACAAGATCACATAAATCTCGAAAAAGCATTTCACGTTGTCATACGCAACAAGCGCGCAACGTCGCTTTGATAAAAAGGAGACGGAACACGTATGTCCACTCGCTTCTACAAACTGAACGACGAAGCGCACACGTACGTGTGACGTCACGATTCTCGTTTGTGTGCGTGCTTCCCCTACCGCGGTGCTCGGGTGCTGGCCGGCTCGAGTTTGCATCACTGAACGCAGCCATAGTTCAGTGTGTGAACATCAGGTGGATAACTTGAGTAACGATTTTTAGGTTACTTCGAATACTCCGCATATACTTCGAACTGCGTACGCAAGACACCACAAGACACTGAACAAAATGTCCAGGAGGAATCCGGGGGACGATTATAGAAAAGGTTTTGTTCATTTTATCTATTACGCTATCGTTCAGTCTAAATAATACTAATCTTGTTTTCACCTCGATTAAGATATTTAGGACGATTAATTTTGCAATTTCCGATACAATTGTTACTTCGAGATATACAAATTCTCTGTGAAATACTAAAATTGCAGAAATAATTAAAAATTAATATTTTCAAGAAAAATTAGCCACGTTATTATATTTTCTAGTGCATTATTGTTTAATGCAACATTCTGCAATTACATCACCAAGGATATTTATGCTAAAAATATAATTATTACGACTTTTGTATAATAACTTAATAATAATTTTTTACGTGCTTGTTTTCTAGCTTATGCATATTTACATCTTAATATCGTGCTGATTAACATTTGGTAATTTAACATTGAGAAAAGCTATACTTTTCAGAGTTAAATGATTTTGTATTTTATAACTATATGGCTAATCTCTAATAGTTGAATTTGTAGGACTTGAATATTGCATTAAGCAATTAACTCGCTTAAAGATTTCCGGTTAGAAAATCAACTCTGTTTAACTTGATCTGAACTTTGCCAGTGTTTGACGTTGTCAGGGTCAAGTGTCTACAGAACCGAGGACAGGAGAGGAGATGACAGGGACAGAGATCGTTCGCCACTCAGATCTGAGGAGCATTGTGAATCGAGTGATCAGTCTGATGGGAAGAAGAAGTTAGCATTTGGCTTTGGGAAGAAGACTGGCAATGAGCAAAAGAAAGGAATTCAAATCAAATTAGGTTCTGTCTCTGTAAGTAAAAAAATTTGCATATGTTATGCCTATTTTTTTTTATGCAATACAATTTTCTTCTGAAATCTTTACCAAAAAAATATTTTTTTAAAATCAGAAACCAACCACAAAAGTAACAACGGTAACAAAACCAACGGTAGCCTCAGTGTTTAATGCGGATGATGATGATGAACCAGAGGAGATGCCGGCTGAAGCAAGGATGAGAATGCGAAATATTGGTCGCGAAACACCAACATCAGCTGGACCAAATTCGTTTGGCAAGACAAAACAAGGATTTTGCGATTCAAAAAAGATATTTGAAAAATCATTGAAACAAGCGATGGAGGAAGTAAACAAATAATTTTCCATTGTGCCCTATATATAATTTGAGAATTATTGTACATTAATTTTACATAATTATTAGAAATATCTTCTCAATGAAGCAAATGCAAGTATTTTTATGAAATTGAAATATTTCATTGATAGAATTCAGAATCTAAGCACATTTTTGCTTCAAAACTTATAAGAATATTAGCTAATATCTCGATTGTATTGTCATGCAGTCTTATACACACATATTCAATAAATCTACTGTTCCAATCTCTATTCAATAAAAATCTGAAGTGTACATTTTTTTCTGATGAACCTGATGATTTTTTTTTAATGATTGTCAGGCCCTATTCGTTGCGTAAACATATATATACATATACATACACACACAATTTACCTTTTCTTGAAACAATAAAAGCAATAATATTGTGTTCTATAATTTATATCTTATAAAATAAAAAAATCTTCAGTATTAGTTTTCACAATTTTTATTAATATTGAAGTTAATTTTACATGATAAAATTATTTCCTGTTCTGCTGACCTTGACGCAGATCCTAGAAACAAAAAAAATATGCTGTCATAGATGTTACAATTATACAAAAATATTCTAGCATATTTATATATATATTAAATGTTTCAAACTTTATTATATATTTTTTTATATTGAATATTCTACTTTTAGTATAATAAATGCATTATATAATAATCAAATTATTTAAAATTTTTTATAGAACAGTTAAATTATATTCCAAATGTAAGTTGGAATTAAAAGAATATGAAATAATTTAATATTCTCAAAGATTATGCACAAATTATTTGCACATATTATTAATTACCCTTGGAAAGTTGCGGACAGGAGGTGTTCTGATACGACGATCAGCCTTTGACCTGTTTCGCACCACCTTAGAGTGAATAGCACAGGAGACACAGTAGTGAAGCTTGGCATACAATTTAGGTAGTTGATAAGACTGATAGAAGCTAGCCTCTGTTATATCTCTGACAGCTGCAGCTTCAACAATGTTACGAATAACAAATTTCTTAATAGCCTTATCCTTTGGAACGCAACGAGCGCAGTTGGTGCAACGGACTGGATTCACATGGCCACGGCCATGCTTGGCGCGTCCACCATTTCTACGTTTGCAAGTCTGGAAAATATATAATACATGTATAATAATCAAATGTGTATATGTATATGTACACATGTGACATGTGGTGTGTATATATGTATGTATATATATATATAAAAATAGAAAAAAATATATATTTTTTTCTATTTTTATTTGATATTTAAAATGCCGTCAATCTCATCTAGTTTTTACAGGTTTTTTGAAATCCAACAGTTAATACATGTTTAGCTATAAGGTTAGAATTACATTTTTGTTCTCGAATACATTTCGCTAATTTATAATAAATTTCTTAAATACAGGAAATTCATATCTAAAATTGCACTAATATTAATATGGCTTACTATTTATTACAAAATATATTTGCAATAATCAAATAGTACAAGATTCACATGGCTACTTTGCAGACACACTTTTTATCAAAAAATATTAATTTTTTGAAAAAATTATATGTGCAAAATGTGTCTCACATACGGCTGTATCAATAGCAAAACTATTTCGAGAATGTGAAATATATGATGTGATAATTCGAGCAAATTATGATCGCTAAACAACATAAATTACCATTCTGTACGCAGAACTACACAGAAAGAAGATGGAAACGGAAACACCATATAAAACCGCAATGCATATAGAAGGGTAACTATTGGGTAACTATCATGCTCTTTTGGTTCTGTAAAGACTGAGGGTGAAGTCCCATGAAGCCAGCGTACGGCGTACCGGCGTACGGCGTAAAGGAACTAGGCCAATCACAGGCTTTACGCCCGTTGTCGGTATGGCAGCAAAAACATCGGCTGTCCCATGGAGCGTATTTACGCGGCGTAAAAATAAATAAACCAATCACAATAACTTTTTACAAAGCTTATTTTTAAAATGGATACTCAGGGGATCTTGTGATTGGCTTATTGATCATTACGCCGGCGTAAATACGCTCCATGGGACAGCCGATGAAATTTTCAGCGTGACGTTTTAATACATATACATTTTCATACATGAAATCAATCAAAACAAATGTGCGCAAAAATCTTCTTGTTAAAATGTTGGACTCGGACTTTGCGTTAATAAATTTAATAAAGTATTTAAAAATATACAAATGCTCGGAAAATACATTATGCAAAGAAGCTGTTCAACGAAAATTAGTGAAAATTTATATAATATACAAATTAATGAGAATCGAAGAAAAAAAAAGAGATTCTAGAATTAAACGCAGAAGATTTTGAGTTAGACCAATTTTTAATATCGAAAGAAGATTTGCACAAGAGGCTAGCAACAATCTGATGCAAGAAATGACTTTTGAAGATGTCGAAAAATTTTTTAATTATTTTCGTATTGACACCAGAAACATTTGAAAAATTAGTTAGCATATTGTTTCACCGCATATACAGAAACAATTTGTTATTCGTGAGCCAATTTCTGCTCGCACTCGCCTTCAAATCTGCTTACGATATTTATCTTCAGGAGATAGCATAGTATCCATATCATATGCATTTCGTGTAGGACACAATACAGTGTCAAAGATTGTATCAGAGACATGCGATGTAATATGGGATACTTTAAAAGATATGGTATTCCTAAAAGCAACTGAAGATAACTGGCGAAGAATAGCCGATGAATTTGAAGAAAAGTGTAATTTTCCCAATTGCATTGGCGCAATTGATGGGAAACACATAATATTACAAGTAAATTTTTAATAGTTTGATAATTTTCTTCTGTGAGAAATTAGACGAAATTATAAGTACTATTATTAATTATATATAGAGTGTCCGGTAACTCAAAGACCAACGATCGTGAGAGGATAGAGCGCAATAAACTGAACAGAAAAGTTCTGTATTATTTTGCAATTTTCGTAATAATTATTTAAATATTAATTAAAAAAGATTGACGAATAAGTACGCGTTTCGCGCGATTAGACCGTAGCATGTAGCTAAATGTCGCACAACGAAAAGTTTGGCCGCGCGACGAGAGACGCGGTTATGCGATGTAGCCGCGCGAACCGCGTACTTATTCGCTAATCTTTTTTAATTAATATTTAAATAATAATTATTGCGAGAATTATTGCAAAATGATAAAGAATTTTTCTGCTCAGTTGTACTCTATTTTCTCACGAGCGTTGGTCGTGAGTTACCGGACTCCCTGTATATATTTAAGAATATTAAATTAATTTTCTCGACTTTTTCATGTTGCTATATATAAACATATATATATTTAGGCACCTCCGAATAGTGGTTCGATGTATTACAATTACAAAGGCACTCATAGCTTGGTGTTAATGGTTATTGCTGATGCTAATTATCGGATCTCATTACTAGACATTGGTGCGCCAGGAAGACGTAGCGATAGTAGAGTATATTATGCTAGCGAGATTGGCAAACGATTACAAAACGGAACGCTGTCAATTCCTCTACCAAAACCTGTGGAACATGGTGGCCAGGCTTTACCATTTATTTTAGTCGGTGATGAAGCATTTCCGTTAACGCAGTACATGCTGAGGCCATATCCTAGAAGTGGTAGACTTAACAGACGCAAAAATGTATTTAACTATCGTTTAAGTCGAGCTCGCAGAATTGTGGAAAATGTTTTTGGGATACTCTCTGCAAGAATGCGAATATTTCGCAAACCGATAATTGCCAGCATACCTACTGCCACTAGAATAATCAAAGCGACTACGTGTTTACATAATTTCATAATATCACAAGAACTGAAGCAACCACATACGCAAAGAAGATATATGACATTAAATGCACATGAACGAGAATTGCGTGGCATAGGTATGGAAGATGTAGGAACGTTCGACAGAAGCATACCGACGAAAAATAGTGCTAAAATAAGAGATGATTTTGCAACATTTTTTGAAACTACTGGTGCGGTTTCATGGCAATGGGAAAAAGTTTTGCAGAATAATTTTTAAAAAACTAAGAAATATATAAAAAATGTTTTTTTTTATTCTTCGTTCCACATTAAAAAAAAGTATATGCTATATGTAGACTATACATTTCATGAAAAAATAAAATAAATATTTCAAATAGAATAATAACATTTATATTACTTATTAGAATTTATCAAGTATACTTTGATGTATTTGTCGACATTTTTTGTAATCGTAGTTTAAAATATGTAATTTTTATTAACATTTTGTATCTATCTCATTGTCAGTGTAAAAAAAAAGAATATATAAAGTATTAAAAGTTTTGATAAACTCAAAAAAAATTATTCAAATAACATTCAATATTTAATTTTTTATAAACTAAAATAAAAAATCATTCAAATAACATTCAATATTGAATTTTTATAAACTAAAATAAATAGAACATTCAAATAGGAAACATGTAATAATTAAAATTACTATTTTATATCCTTGTTTGTTTATTTAAATATTGAATTTATTGTACTTACAGTACTTCAATATTGAAGTAAACAAATTAGGATATAAAATAGTAATTTTAATTATTATATATCGTATAAAAATAAACTAAACATTATTTCTCTTGGCTTCCTCTTTCTCTGCCTCTGCAAGAAGTTGCAGAATTGCTATTTGTAGTTGACGACATTTTTTATCTGATAGCTTTCGCATCCCGTCTGACAAGCAAGCTACAAAATAATCAATGGCATCTTTTTGTGAAACTGGAGTATTCAAAACATTTTTAAGCTCGTCCCGTAGTTCCAACATAAAAGACTCACTACATGCATTCGCTGTAATAATACTTTATTAAATTAATAAAAAAAAAGCCTTTACAACACACAACATTATTTATAACTTTTTAATTGAAAAAAATTACTTTTATTTATTTTAATAGTGCAATGTTTTTTGAAAGTTTTAAAAAGATTGATTCAATATTTGTTTTTCAATAAATTCTCAAAAATTCAGTTGTGTGTTTTTCAACAGTTTATAGGCTCCTCTCTTAAAACATCACTTAATCTTAAAGATTTTAAAGATAAGAACCGATTATGAATATCAATACTTTGTTACATTTCTTTAAGATCCGGTTGCACCAACGTCATTATGGCTATAAACGAGACTTAAATATGTCTATCTTTATTAATTTAAAAAAAGATGAGGATAGATACATATGTTAGTCTCGCTTAAATCCAAAATAATGTTGGTGCAATCTGGTCTAAAAAGACGTAATAAAGCTAAAATTATCTTACAAGTTGTATTAGGTGTTTGTGACGACCGTTGTGAAGCTCGTGACAATGGTCTACTTTCACATATGCTGTTTCCTATTGAACTGCATGTTGAAGTTGAAGGTAACGATCTACTTTTCAATGTACTGTTTGTTGTTGAAGTTGAAGATAAATCCTCTTCTTGTGCGCTTTCAGCAACTTGATCGCAATCGGATAAATTACAGACAGTTCTAAAAAAGTTATTACATATTGAATGTTATTATTACAGATATTTAGTTAGTATGGAAAAAAATATGAAAATGTAATAAGGAATGTATATAAGGAAATTAAGACTAATCATAATACAGATTTTCTTATATTTTCAGATCTTATTTATCTATTATCTAATAAAAAATTCTAAGAAACAAAATCTTAATGCTCAGATCACATTAAGCGCAAATTTTATTAATATATATATATATATACGTAGTGAATAATATTTGTAATAATTTTTGTTTGCTTTCACAATTTTTAACAGGGTTATACATTGTATAAATATTTTAAATATAATTATAGTGTATAAATGTATATTTCAAATGTTTTGTATAGGCTAAATTTTAG